ATACATAAGCATAATTGAAAAACATTATCAATGAAAAGTCAATAATTTATTCTTTACTGCACTTTTCAAACAGTTGAACTTTGATTTACAACGGAATTAAACTAAGGATACTGTGGAAACAATTAAACTGTACTGAATAAGCAAAATATTTTATTGTCATATGACATTTGTTGAATAACTCAAAATAGTGTTCATCAGTTGTAGATTTGAAATAGTTTATTCGTTGTCTAGTGTGTTGTTAAAAATGCTGAATCTTCAAGAGAAAATTGAAATCGTTTTAATATGCGGTGAGAATACCGGTCACCGACAAGTAGCTGTCATATTTTCAATGCCAGACATCCTGAGTTGTATTTAGAATTGCAATTGGTAATAAAAATGCGTTGGAAAGATAAGTTAGGCATAAAGCACTAACTTTGTTGAGGTTTGGATAAATTTGAGAAATCGGCAAATGTCAAATTTTCGAAAAGCTGTAAAAAAACTAAATTTGTACTAGAGAGCTAAAAATTGGTATATGGATAAAAAATGAAAAAACAATCATCTTTTTTCTTTACCGATTTTCGAAATTTCGAGCAATAACTGCTTTTCTGAACATTGTTTGGAAAAAATGTCAAATTTGACAGGGAAGAAAAATCACTTGATCGGTCATATGCATGTCATTTGGCTTTTAAAGCACAACCTAATGGATATATCAAAAGTTGCTTGAAGAGATGAACAAAAAAAATCCCATTTGATGCGGACTTTATGTGTGACACTGTATGTATTCAAATCTTTTGGAAGATAATTAATTAATTTGATTGAATCAAGTATTGTAAGATTTCCTGTATTTTTATCTGAAGTGAAGTGGACGATTCATTCTACATTATAATTTGTTTTTAAGGACTTTGTCATTTCAATCAAATTCAAATTGAAATCAAATAGCAAACGCGAGAGAGAACATGAATATTACAAGTTCATTTCCTAATAGTTATTACACGCATGGCACCGTCAAAATAATGTAAAATATACAATATGTAAAATAGGTCAGAAAAATCACGATATTTTTACAATAACAATAAGTTATCTCACACTGAATAAAACAATCCAGTCATATTAGTGAAAATAGGGCAAGTATCCTGGAATTGAAGATAGTCAGCTACAAACTAGTATAAACCTTTATGTTGACTCCCTGAAAATTGTCTTTGTATTCATTATGGATACTGAAGTTTATTCAAACCTAAACCAATATGCTCAACTGAATTATTTGAAATTATACCGAAAACAATATATACCAGGTCTATCCAAAAAATAAGGTAAATGTTCAAAATTCGCAGGCTAATAAATGGTTTACAGCGAATAAATTAAATCTAAATCAAACCAAAACACAATCTTCAACCATCTCTTCTTATATAGAACACACACAGAGTTTATCAATGCCTCGAAGACTCAAACAAATACTGATCACTGATCTTAAAATTGCTTATTTTTCACTGTTTCATTCGTATATATGCTACTCGATAATTTTATGAGGGGCATCGTCCCATTCCGCTAAAGCATTCATTCTACAAAAATAAAGCCATAAGGATTTTAACAAGAGAAAATATGCGACCTCTTTTTACAAAACTAGAAATGACTGTTCTATCGGTTGACATTTATAATTCCGTATTCCAAATTCATAACAAGAAAGATTCATTAACCAAAAACTCAGGTCACCATATTTACCCAACAAGATCTTGAAATCTTTTTAAATGTCAACGATATAGGTTGAATAAATCTAGGGAGAACAAACAAATAAGCTTCCAGATTACTTCAAAGAGCTTCCTGAGAATCTTTTCAAGAGTAGAATGAAACTCACTGTTTATACTCCACTTTAGAGTTTGGCAGCCCGCAGGCCGCTTGCCATGTTGAGAACAGCAATTTTTCATGACTTAAAGTTTTCTTAAAACCTTTATATCATGTGTTCTGCGAGTAGTTATAAGATTCTTAAAAAAATAAGTGTTCCGTGTTAGTTGATATATGTCAAAAAGTCAATGTAAGAAAAATATATGAGTTTAGTTAATATAAAAGAATTACAAGGAAATAAACTTGAGTATAAATTGACGGATGTAGCTGTTACTACGTGGTAGGAGATCATTCTCAAACTTATACAATAAACTTATTGTATAAATACAATAAACTTATTGTATAAGTTTGAGAATGTCCGTATAGGACGAAACTGCAGTAATGTTAGTTACAAATAAAAGTGGTAGAAATTTTCATTTCTCTTTTCAAACTTGAGTATCTTTCTCACTTTCAACAAACAGTTGATACCTAAAGGAAAGCTGTTCTTTCATCAAAATAAATATCATTTCAAACATTCGTTTATCAAGATTCATTATTGCAAAGAGAATTGGAATATTTTTCGAAAACATAGCAACAACGCTTCGTGTACGCATTGCAAAATTTGAAAACTGTTCTTTGGCACTTGATGAGAGTTGCGATAATATAAATCCCCGATTCATTAAAAATGCAGTTACAGTAGAATGTAGAATTTATAAACAAACTTTTGGTACTCCAATGGGAGCTAAGATCAGCCCCATTTCAGCAGCATATGTCATGGATGACCTGCTAGATTTGGTCTTACAGGTACTTCCCTTTAATCTTTTCTTCATAAAAAAATATGTCGATGACATTATTATATCCCTTCCTCAAGATGGAATATCTGAGATTGTGGACATCTTTAATAGTTATGACCCTTACATACAGTTCACCATCGAAACTGAGAACAACGAACAATGGGTTCCCTTCCTTGATACAAAAGTTATCAGAACACCAGATAATACTCTACTCATAGATTGGTATCGCAAGCCTATCAGTTCTGGTAGGTTCTTGAACTATTGGTCATACCATAAGCAGTCAACGAAAATCAATTTGGTCAAACAAATGAAGAACCCGCATTCTGCAGATTTCCGATCCTTCTTTTCATAATAAAAATTTAAATATACTCTTCTAATTATTTATTAACAACTCCTGCCCGGATCCTCTACTTGACAAGATTTTATTTAGTACGTCAACCATTGACGTTCAAATTAATAATAACAACCAGTTGGATATAAATCCTGTAGAGTCTGACAATGTCACAATTGGGACTGATCCACCTCCAGTTGCTATACTTTTCCCTTCTTTACCATACATACAGATGCTACAAGTGATATGACACTCAAGTTATGCAGAATTTTCAAAGATTCAAATGTAAAAATAGCTTCCAGAACCATATTCACCATCAATAAATTATTTTCTAAACTTAAAGATAAAACTCCAATTAACTTTCAATCTCAATTAATCTATTCTATTCCATGCTTGAATTGTGGTAGGGAACATATTGGCCAAACGTCAAGATTACTCAAAGACAGAATCAGCTCACATAAAAGTGATAGTAGATTACATCCTGAGAGATGTGCTCTCAGTAATCATGTGTCCAAAGAAGGTCATAAAATGGATTATAATTCAACAAAAATTCTATCAACTGAAAGAAATACATCTAAAAGATTGTGAAGGTATGACATTTGTCAAACCCACAAAAAATCCTATACATGTATAACTTTCTCGTCAATTTATAAGTTCAATTTATTGTTTTTCGCTCATTTTTACTGCCCTGAAGAAGCTTTCCATTAGAAGCGAAAGCTTGGCAAAGTAAAGCAGAGTCTGGTTTTTGATTTTTTACTGAGAGACCCTGTTAATCTTCTATATCTTTCCATTAGAAGCGAAAGCTTGGCAAAGTAAAGCAGAGTTTGGTTTTTGATTTTTTGACTGAGAGACCCTGTTAATCTATTTTAATGTATATGTATATATATATATATATATATATATATGTATTTCTGATTTCGTTCATAAGAAATCGAAACAGCTTCATCAAAATTGGGACAGAACTTTCCAATTGCGAAAAAATTGATTTAGGGACTCCACAAGGAAGTATACTCGGACCGCTCTTGTACATGAATGACTTACCTAACTGTATCAAAGAAGGGAGGTTGTTAATGTATGCAGATGACATTTCGATAGTAGTTACAGGGAATACCTTTCAAGAAGTTTCCATAAAAACTGACAATGTTAATAAAGATTTTGTACGTTGGTGTAATATCAATCAATAATTCATTGTTAATTTAGAGAAAACAAAATACATGCAATTTTCATAGAACGTTTGGCTAGTGAAGAAATTCCTGTCGAAATAGAAGATTTTAAAGTACCTATAAGCGTGAACTATGAATTTCTTGGCACTATGATTGATGAAAAATTGACTTGGTCTGAACAAATCAACTATGGGTGCAAAAAATTTAACCACGCATTTTTTGCTATTCATAGACTAAAAAACACCCTGAGCAAAGCATCTCTGATCAATGTTTACTATGCTATCGCTGTCTCGCTCATTCAGCAATTAGTTATAACATTTCAACGGGGACAAGCAACGGAATGTAGCCGGGTATCTATTAATCAAAAAAGGATTATATGACTGATTTTCAATCTATAATACCAAGAATCGTGATAGTCACGGTAATTCGACAAGAAATCACAGTAACATACACCTGAAAAGTTTTCGAAATATATCTCATAAGCGGTCACCAGAATGGGCTGGAAGTTTCTACTATCACTTGCTGCCAAGGAATAGAGAAACAACAAATTCAAATAAAGTGTTAAAACTATCTTGACCAATAATCCTATATATGCAATTGATGAATTTCTAGATTTGATTGAAACTTGATGAACATTTGTGTATGTATATATGAGTATATGTACATCTGTGTAAAAATTGATGTAGTGTGGATACTTTGTGATTTTATATTCATGAGTATCGTCGCCATCGCAATAATTTGTATGGATGAACTATTTTTATCTATTTCTATATTGACGAACCTCACATATTTTATATGGCAAAAGAGGTAATAAATGAATTGAATTGAATATTATCAAGTGAATAATATACAATTTCCTCTTTATTTACTGAAGGTTCCCAACCCACTATGAACTAGTACCAAAAATATTCTTTTTACAGAACCTCCATTATCTACTAGTCGTCAAGGTCTACAGAGGAGCACTGTTCCTTCTGGCAACATACTCCCAGCACGTTCTCTTCAACCTCCACCACCCTACACACCCAGACATGTAGGCTTTCAACTCAGAACACTTAGAGCCCCTACTCTTCCTGAATCTCACGTTGGCCCAAACATGATATTGCCAAATACAGATCATCAACAAGCAAATTCAAAAAATGTGCTAGATCTGAGGTACCCTACATTTCTCGAACCAAAGGGTGGTCGAAACACAAATTCGGTGAATAGATCTAATCAACGTTCAGATTCAGTGCATATGGCAAGAGGTCGGAGATATCCAAAATTTCTTAAAACAAATGTTGCCCCGAACGCAGTATCACCAAATACATCCAATCACTTTTCAAATTCAATGAATCGGCCAGAAGTTCAGAGGTATTCTACATTGCCTGAACCGAACGTTGGCTCAAAGACAACATCGCTAAATACACTTCATCATCATCCAAATTCAATAAATGTGCTGGGATATCAGAGGTATTCTACATTTCTTGGATCAAATATGAATACAAACATAGAAACGCCAAATATGCTAAATCAATTTTCGAATTCAAAGAATATAATAAAAGGTCGAAGGCATCCTACATTTCTTGAACCAAATATTGGCTCAAACACAGCATCGTCAAATAAACTTAATAAACGTTTAAATTCAATAAATGAGCCAGGAGGTCAGAGGCATCACACACTTCTTGAACCGAATATTGGTCCAAATACAGCATCGTCAAATTCAGTTCAACGGTCAAATTCAATAAATACACCAGGAGGTCAGAGGCGTCCTACATTCCTTGAACCGAAGATTGGCCCAAACACAGCATCGACGAATACACTCAATCAACGTTTAAATTTAACAAATAAGGCAGGAGGTCCTAGGCATCCTACATTCCTTGAACCAAACGCAGCATCGACAAATACACTCTATCAACGTTTAAATCCAATAAGTATGCTGGAAAATCAGGGGCCTTCTAGAAGTATCGAACCAAACGTTGATCCAAGCATAGCATCGTCAAAAGTAGTCGAACATTGTTTAAATTCAGGAGATCAAACGCATCCCACATATCTGAAACCAAACGTAGGACGACACACGACAAAGAAAAATTCATTTAATCAACGTTCGAATGCATTACGTTTGTCAGGTGGTATATTTTGTGAAACGAACGTAGGACGAAACACGAGCCAGTTGAATACATTGAATCATCAACTGAATGAAATGAATATGAAATATCCGTCGAATATAAAACCGAACACTAAACCGAATGAAACAAATAATCAGCAACTAAATTCGATGAATATGCCAATAACTGGAATTTATTCTACATTTTTCGAAACAAATGCAAAAGCGACATCCCAAAATCCATTAAATCAGCGACCAAATCTAATAAATATGCCACCTATACGGAGGTATCCTGCATTTTCTGAATCGAACGTGAAATTAAATACGACGCAGCAAAATACATTCAATCAGCAACTAAATTCAATGAATATTTCGATGAGTCAGAAACCTTCTAGAAATCAGCTGAAAGACCCACATTTGTCAAATTATACACACTTTCACCCATGGGAAATTGAAAATCCAGTAAGAAATTCACCTTCTCCAACTGAAAAAGAAAGAAAGTCAAAACCAAAGAAACTTAAAAGCATAAACAACAATACTCAGTCTCAATCCAAAGTAATTGAAAATAAAGGTCGCCCAAAGTCAGAAAGCCAATCTCACGAAGTGGAAATCGAAAGTCCATTGAGATATCAGTCTTCCACACCTCGAGTAGAAAAAATGTCAGAACAAACAAACTCTAATGAAAACACTCATATTCATGACCTTTTGAAGTTGAAAAAACAAAATTTTCAGCATGCGCCAAAAACTGAAACGGTGACATCGAATGCTGGTCATATATTGGATACCAACCATTTGTTGACAAATCAAACTGTTCAACCTTCCAAGAATGTATATGACTCAGAAGTTATTCATGAGCAACGGGAACTAGAAGAAAATCCACGTCCCACAGCTCGAATGGAAACAATGTCCAGGCCAACAACAATAACAAAAAAAATTCCTAATGAAAATACTGAGATTAAGCACCCCTTAAAAATTGAACAGCAAACTATTCGAGAAGTTTCGGAAAGTAAATCGGTGACATCCAATGCTACTGTAGAAACCCACCATTCAGTGACAGATCAAAACAGACAGTCGTCTACAAGTTTTCCCAAGAATTCATATAAATCGAAAATAGATCAACAGCGACCTAAATCAGATACAGTTTCATTTCCTGCCTTTGGAATTGATAAAATGTCAACAACAACAATATCAAAAAAAGCAAAAAAAAATACTGATACTCGTAGAAAAAGAAAAAAATCGAAAAAAAGAAGTCGAGATAAAATAAAAACTGAAAAGATGACATCGAATAAGTCACGGATATTGAAAACCATTTATAAGTTGGGGAAAAAAAAACATCGGCATTCTACAAATTCTTCTAAGAAATCAAATGGTTCGAAAAGTATTCAACAGCAACATGAACCAGGTAGAATTACACCCCCTACATATCGAATAAAAAGTATATCCGGACCGACAAAAACAATAATTACAAGAATTCCTAATGAAAATACTTATATGAGCAGACATTCGAAAAAAACAAATAAAAATATTCGGGGTGAGTCAAAAACAGAAACGGTGACATCGAATACTAGTCAAATATTGGAAACCAACCATTCGTTAGCAGATCAAAATGTTCAACCTTCTGCAGGTTCTTCAAAAAAGTTATATGACTCTGAAATGAATCAACAGCCACGTATACCAGACAAAATTCCACTTTCTGCACCTCGAATAAAAAAAATTACAAGACCAACGAAAACGAAAAACTCTAATGACAAAACTGATATTCAAGAAATGTCGAAAACTGATTTGGTGACATCGAATACTAGTGAAACATTGAAAACGTACAGTCTGTCGACAAATCAAAATCTTCAAGTTTCTACAGGTTCTCCTAAGAATTTACATGATTCTGAAATATATCAACAGCAAGTTGATCCAGTGGAAATTTCACATCCTACACCTCAAATAGAAAAAAAGCCCATACCTACAACAATGAAAATCTCAATAAAAAATAATAATTTTCAAGAACACAGGGAAATAACAGAGCATACTATTCGGGAAGTGTCGGAAACCAAATCAGTCACATCAAATACAAGTGAGAATTTGAAAATATACAATCTGCTAACAAATCAACATCATCAGCCTTCCTCGGCCAAGAATTCATATGAATCGCAAAGAGATCGACAGCAACATAATGTGGTTGTTGAAAAGTATGAAGGAGATATGAACAAAGGAAATGAAACTGATGAAATGAAAAAACTATTTTTTTCAAATCTTGCAAGGATATCTGAAAATAGAAATTTCAAACTTACAACTACTGAACCAATAACACATATAACCGTGAGTATCCAACCAGAGAAAACAGAAAAAGAGCTTTCACCTTCCACAAATAGAGGAACAGACGGGGAGACGGGCGTGAAAACAATAGGTTTCAACACAATCGCTCTACTGGAGACGAAGCTGAGGTTCCAACTAGTACTGTGAGTATTATATGAAATATAAAGTAATCCATCAAATAAATTATTGTATCCAATTGCTGTTACATCTAGTAGAAAAAAAATGGGATGATTGTATGCTGAGAAATCAATTGAAGTATGTAACTCCTCAGGTTTTTCCCAAACTCACTTGATGAAAACTTCACAAGACATACTCTCTGCTTTTCAGCCTAATGTTATTAGTAATAAATACAAACCTATCTCAACTGTCAACAACGAAGATTTGATTGTTTTCATCACTTCTTCGATTGTCTTTTCCATTACATTCCCAACAGTATTTGTTTCAGATGACAATATTCATTTGATGACTAAAGCAATTTCCATCAAACTGAACTTGTGAATATTGGTGTCATAAATGACTAACTACTGAGAAAGAATAGCATCTAAAATGTCCATTCTAAACGTTCTTCACATCAACCACTTCTGTTAGCCGGATTTGAGATATTTTTTATTGAACATTACACTGGTTTTTATACTAATAATTATATTTTCAGCTACTGGACTGCAATAGAATAAATGAAGCCATACACTCATTCTTACACTTTTTCCGAAAAATGTTTGTCATCTATCTATTCAAAAAGAAGTGGATATTCAATTCTGTTTGTTAGATTTGGGAAATCGAAAAAAATCATTGCCAAATCAAGTAAAACCTTTTGAAGAATTAGTGCTTGATTGATAATCAAACGAAAGTAACCAATATATTCGTCTCTATTGGAAACTGGAACTGAGGAAAAATTACATGTGTTTGAATTTCATTTTTCATCTTTTGTTCAATTCATATTCGATCAGTATATTTCTCAGATCGTTTCTATCTTCACAGTACCATCAAAAGTCACTTCAATTGTCATTCTACAAATACTGAAAAAAAATAAAATTTCGTAACATTCACCCCTTCCAACGTTTCTTCACTATGGTATTTATAAACGCTTGCCGGAAAAGAACTGATTTTTCGGCTAACACCACCGATGGTCATTGAATTCATCCGACAAACGTACATAATAATGATAATAATGATATCGTTTATTATGCATAAAAATACATTTATACATAAAAGGAAAAGGGTTAGCCAAAGGCTATCTTCCACCCCTCCCAAAAATTATGCAGTGAGTATAAGAAAATAATTATAAACATACTTATTTACTATCATAACAATCATAAAGCAGAGAAAAAATAATACATCAAATAGTTGCTAATAACGCTTAATATTCTTATTTTGGTCAATTCAACAATTTCATTGCACTGCCATACATTAAATTTAAAAATTTCTATATTAGCACTGAATTAGCATCTGTGATTTTATTTCTTTCTTAAATTGATGAATATCATGATTTGAAAGGGGTAAAATTTCATTCAGATAAGAAGGGGCTATATAAGAAAAACATCCTTGAAATTTGGAAGTACGGTGCCTAGGTATGTTGAATGAGTTAATTCTACAGGTCTATGTAGTTCAATTGGCAGGCTATTGGTTTGCGAGGATGATTTTGTGGTAACATCCCAATCTGCAAGATTTCTCCATGTCATTTTTGATTTCTTTAAATTTTTGTTCAAAACAAATTGTATATATGCGTTTTTTTTTCACGTTTTACTTCGTCATTGACGTAGTTGCGCGTAGAGTTACATAGTACTGTCTAGCGGCTGTTGTCTTTTCTTTAAGATATTTGGCATGAGCTCTATCACGGGTTTTCATCATCAACTGGATATTATGAGTTATATACGGGGATGCTTTATGTTTTCTGTTTACAGTGCAAATTGGAGCATGTTTGTCAAAAAGCATAATGATGCATTCGTTGAGAAAATTTACTTTGGAATTAATATCTTGCATAGTCACAATATCACCCAATGGTAAGTTAGCAGCATCTTGAGAAATAAGTTCGTGATTGATAAGTATATTCGCCTTCGAAATCAATATCGCAAAATACCATCAGATGATCAGTTAGACCATTCATATCAAGTATATTAAAATTTCTTACCATAACTTCCTTACTAATGCAAATGACATCAATCAGAGATTCAGAAGTTGTTGTTATCCGAGTAGAACTTTCTACACTTTGATTCATATCGAAACAAGAAACTAGGACAGTAAGTGTCGCGAGAGTCACAGTTTAACAAATTAATATTAATATCACCAACTAACACCACAGTAGATGTTTTCAAATACACTCGTTTCAGTACATCAGCTAACTCCTACATACAGTCCTCTACCTTTGTTTCTGGTGGGCGATAAACAACTCCACAGGCTACTTTTTGTTTGTTTATACTGACTATAATCCATAGCTGCTCTAGACCATTTGCCGAAATTGAAGAGTAATATAATTTTTATTTATACAGCGATTTGATGAGAAAACATACTCCAGCACCTCTACCGACACGGTCCATACGTATCAAGTTGAAGTTAGGTATAGTAACAAATCAATCTGGATATTCTGGAGCGAGCCATGTTTCCGTGACTTCAATTATTGAAATTTTGTTATTATTGATAGATTCTTTGAAATCACCAAAACAATTATTCAAAGAACGAATATTCATGTGACCGAATTTTATATTGACTTTTTTGATTTACTGATAGAAGGAACGCCATTAACATATTTAATGTATATGTTATCCTCGCCATTTTGTTCTCGTTCATTAAACTGCAAGAGAACCTTTTTCAAATATTCACGTTGAAGAATTGTCTTATCGGTACTAATCTGAACGTTGAAATTGAAATTTTTTATTTTATGTTTATTTTTCAATACCATAAATACATATTCGCGTCTATTCAGAATTACTTTCAGTGGTAGTGTTTGAACACCTCTTCTTCCAATCCTGAACGTTTTTATATCTTCAGTATTTACTGACGGGGCAATAGCTCCAATTATATCTTTGACATTTTTCATATCGGAGTCTTGGCCATCATCCTTCAGTTTATATATAATTATATTTTTTTCTTTTCATTGTCTTTCCGAAATTTCAGTTATAATGGTTTCAGCATTATCAGAGTATTTGTTCTCCTTGATTTCCTTGATTTCTTCCTGCAAAGCTTTCACTAGTACAGTGAGATCCTTGATCGCCCGAGTTAATTCGCGGCAATTGGCACACTCTGTACCCGGTGCGATAAAGGGTTCCCCGCCCATGAGATGTCTGCAATCCTCGCATTTATAAAATGTTCCTTCCATGCTAGTTAACTTTGTTCTTTAGACATTCCAAGGCATTTGTAGTGAAAAAGTTTTGAACAAAAACTACACTGTAGGCCTGGCGCTCTATTATTTGTAGTTTTTGTGCATTTGTCACATTTCGCTGACGTATTCCTTGAATTTCTTATTTTTCACTCAAAATCGAAATACAACAATGAAAATAAGTGGTGTTATGTGTATAGATTGTAGCACTAAACTTTTGGGTCATCGTTGGTATAGTTATTTAGTATTATTTATGTCGTATCTTTCAAATAAGTACGGAACAATTTCTCACACGTCTACACTCACTTTGGTACGCCTCTGGTAGGGTTCCCAGTTGTCTTGCAAGTTTTCCGTTAAATTGATGGTTAGGAACAAAAATTTTACGATGAATATAAAATGAAATCACAGATTTTGTCGTGGTTTCACTAGTGTTTATGTAAAAATGATAGCGACACCTCCAAACCTCTTAACGGTGGTATATTCCCTCAGTTTGAAAAAAATGTTCTAGTTAGGCATCATTAAAACGGGTTTTTGATTTGTTATTTCCTGTTGCTTTGCTTATGAAAATCGGTCTGCTAGCTTAAAAGACATGAAGCTGTGAAATGTCGGTAATATGTTTTTCAAAAAATGCAAACATTGAAAGGACTTTTCTTGAAAACTCATCGTATTATTGAAGTAAATGCTGGACATTTTTTCCCTCAATCTTCATACAATATTATAGGTTATGTTTGAATCGGTAAAATTTAAAAAAATATAGGTACCTGGTGACAATGAAAGCATTGTACAAGGCGACATTCAGTTGTTTTTAGGATGAGTAATTTGGCTCTTTGAGCCATTATCACTTATGAAAAAACAATTGAAAACCCATTTCAGTTCAACTGGAATCGATCATGTCAAGACTTTTAAATAGACCCCTTCATGTTTTTCGACCATTTGATAGAATATGAAATTCCCCCTTCAACGATGTATCCTTCCGAAATAACCCTGAAGTTTCCACTGTTTATTCCTGGTTCATTCACTCTTATTGGCCTTGAATCAGCAGTCCTCCTAGAGCTAGTTCTTGGCGGCCACATTAGTTTATAGTTCCAATTATTGAAAATAGTTCACGTCAATGATTGTGAATAGTAGGAAGATATTTGTCTGGATATGTCAGGTACCACTTTTCTCAAATTTATCTGCCACCATGCATATTACTTCAATGGCATCTTTTCATTTATTGAAGGGTTTTGTTACGATAACTTCAATTTACCAGAAACAGAAAATCAATATTATAATGATTTTTGGATAATATTCAAAAAAAGTTCTATAATATCTCACCGATGATTCATTTTCGAAGATCGTTCAATGATCACGTGCAGTGTGATATATTTCTTTTTCAATGTATCCTTGAAACAATCTGAAAAACTTCAATTGGGTGACCAAGGAGGCCTCTCAATTACACCTTTCGACATCGACATCGTTCAAATAATTAGACATATTTTATGAATAATGTAAAGGAGCACCATCTTGTTGAAAGGATCATTGTCTAAGATATAAGTGAGAGTTGTGATGAAAATATTTTGAGTGAATTCAGGTACTTATCTTCTGTTGAATTTTCAGGAACATTCGCCGGCCACTTGTACGACTCACATTGATTGAACATATAATCCATTGTAATTTGTCTTGCTACCTCAATATCTCCATTGAGAACCTAAATTGCATCCTACCTCTAATTATTTTCAACCGATCGAAATTTTCCCAAAAAGATGTCTTTTTTCCCGAATGTCGTTGGTGGATATATTTTCAACATAAACAAAATCGTTAAGGCTTCCGCGGCCAAGGTTTTTAGTG